CTTTAACGCATTGCCCCTTTTCCCGGTTCAAAATAAGTATCATTTTCTAATGTCCATAATCACATTTTCATACGTCAAAATCAATTATGAAAGAATCGGTAAAAATATCTCCGCCTTAGCACCAGGCTCCCTCAATGGAATAAGAAGCCTCCTTCCATGCCTATCGGTTTTCGTGTATCTTGGACGCACTTCCCGTTTCGTTATATCTATCTTTTTATATTGCAATCTCAATCCTTCCCCGCAACGCTGCCAACTCTCCCACAAATATGAAAACATCGCAGCGTCTCGATAAGCCTCCGCCTCTCGCACCCTCTTCAAAATCTTCACCTTGTTTCGAATGTACTTAATAACTCTCGTCAATTTTTCTTACCCCAAAGGGCATGCAGACTCCTCAATCACACCTCTACCGAATGCATACTCCCTATACACTTTTCTGAACGCTTTCACGCAACTGCTCTGACACGGATCACTACTCTCCTTTCAACCTAAGAGTCGGAAACTCCCACTCAAACAATTTATAACCGCATTCACCGTTGAGGGAGAAACCATTGGTTCTCCTTCGGCATCTGTTGTCCGACACCTACTCCTTATCTCCACCAGCCACTAGCTACTAAGGAACGCCAAAACATCTAAATCATTACACGTCATTCAACTTCTTTCAACTCCATTTTTCTGAAGCTATTCATTCAAGCCAAGTAGAAGCTTTCACATCCCATTCCGCCACCGCTTCCCGGGATAAAATTCTTCAATCAATCGGCTGCTCCATTCCAACCCTGCCTGGCAACTTCTTGCTATCTCAGGTGTCGCTGGGCTCTGTCGCCAGCTTCCATCACTCATCCGCTCGTTCCACCAGCCCTGCAAGATGACAAGTCACTTGTGGGATGATGGAGGGATTTGGGACGGTCTAGGAGGTTTGTTGGCCTACAACCCAACTCTATGACTCCCTTCTGAGCGATCTGGCATCATCTGCGGTTTGTGCATTTACTATTTTATCTGGACTGGGCCTGGGCAGCAATTCTCCTTGAGCTGACCCCGTGGGTGGTGTCAACTCTCACGGCTCTGGTTTTTCATCTCTACAGTTCCGCGGTTCCAACTGCTCTGGGAATCGTCTCTTCATTTCTTAGTTATCAAGGCTACTACATACTGTTGATTCTCTTCATGTACAGTTGGCCAACTGTTCTTTCTCATTTATTATTTTACTTTCAAAGATCAACGGCGGGAGCATCTACTGAGCAACATCTTTGGTTCATTTCGTGGTGCCATCGGGACTCACCCAGCAGGAAGCAGTCCCTCGGCGGCCCGACCTCCACTACCTCCAGGCGCAACAAGAGCGTAAGTAACTGGTGCAGGACCGGTCGCAGCAGACTGCATCAACTCACTTGAGCGCTCTCTGGATTTCTTCCGCCAGCTGCCACGCCCATCGCTTATGCAAACCTGTAAGTCACATCAAGCCAGTCAGCCAGTCAGCCAGTCGGACGGTCTAGGAGGTGTGTGGGCCTGCGGCCCAATTCTATGACTATCTTCTGAGCGATTTGGCATCATCTGTGGTTTGTGCATTTACTATTTTATCTGGACTGGGCCTGGGCAGGACCCTGCTCCGTCTGTCAAGCAAGCTCAAGGCGCACTCATGATGCCTGCACATAGAAAGTTGAGTTCCCAGCCAACGGGTGCTGGGTGGTGGTCCCACAGCGGCCGACTTGGCCCGCCTGTTGTCCCCAGAGCGCAGGTGAGTTTCCCTGCCATCTGCTAGCTCAGTTCTGCAAGAGGAGGGCGAGCCTCTAGTCAATAGTGGCAGTAAACGTGGCCCAGTAGATGGTCCAGAAACCTGCAGCATAAGCCGGGTTCCGGGTTGCATCTTACCTCAGGTAAGGCCAGATTCTGCTGCAAAAAAGAAGCTCCACTTCGCTGTCAGTCAGCGCTTCTTCCGCTTGTCGTCCGGCGATATTCTGGATATCCTTGTCTGCACCCGCTGGGCTGCGAATAGTCGGGTGGTGGCAGCGGCCTGCTTGTTGACGAAAGACAGCTTGGCAGAAGCCTCCTGCACACTCACGCTGTGCAGCCATTCGCTAAGATCTGCGATCCTCGCTGGGCTAGACGTGCAAGCAAGGCGAATGACCCTCACTGCACTACTCTCCAAATTTGCAAAATGAGACTGCATCCAGCCCTAGAACACGGCAAGATACCTTGCCATCCGTTTCGTCGTTTGTGCATGCGGAGAATAGTGGAGCGAGGCGAATGTCTGTGCGCGCCGCGAAGGGCGGATCACCCACCTCGTGCCACTGACCGCGCTAAAGGCGAAACCAACGGGGCCCTGAGACCTAGGCGTTCCCAAGGGTGAAGGACTGTCCTCGTCGTTTCGATGATGAGATTACAAATTACAACGGTGGCGTTTCTCCGGTGGGCTTCCGAACGTGTCACTCCCATACTTTTCTTGTTTTTGTTTTTCTTTTTTTCTTTTTTTGGGAACTTTTCTTGTTTTTCTCCCATAGGACCCCGCCTCCGTTTGCAAGACTTCATTTGTGGGCCCATTGGAGGTGCAGTGACTGGCCTTGCTCGGCGCTAGCACCGCCGATTTCCCCCATCGGCAATGCCTGCCCACCCCTTGTCACCGTGCTGAGGGACTGGCACAGCCTTGCTCTCGCACCACACCTGTGGCGCCAACCTACCCCGTCGGCCGGGGAGAGATCCGGGGCTAGGTCCCACTTGCACGAATTAAGAGATACTGACCGTAGATAGGGAAAATCAACGGCCGAGATCTCCTAATTTGCGCAAGTGGGACCTTGCCCCTGGGTTGGTTGTGAGAGGATGAGATAGGTGCGTACTACCAAGAATGATGAAACAGATGAGATTCCCAAAAAAAAAAAAGAAAAAAAAAAGAAACAGATGAGAGAAAAAAAGAAAAAAAAAGAAAGAAAACAGATCTTATGAGCATGACACGCTACCACTGCTCTCTCTCTCTCTCTCTCTCTCTCTCTCTCTCTCTCTCTCTCTCTCTCTCTGTGTCTGTCTGTGGGGTTGGTGGGGGTTACCGGTTCATTATCCCCTATGGAGCGTGGCAGGTGCGTGCCCCTATGGAGCGTGGCAGGTGCGTGCGGGCATGGGCCTCGCTTGACTACTCGCCAAATGTGCAAAATGAGGATGAATCTTCCGTTAGGGATGGGTAGATACGCTGCCATATTTTTTATTTTTTTTGTCTTTTTTGTGCATGTGGTGAGTAGTGGAGCGAGGCCCAATGTTTGAACCAGGGCCTCTCTAGAAATGTGCAAAACCAGAGTGAATCTTCTGCTAGAACGTGGAAAGATACATCGCCATTGTGCATGTCGAGAGTAGTGGAGCGAGGCACCACGTAACGTGATAGCATCGGGCAGGGGGATGAAGGGTGAAGGGGTGATCGAGTGGACTGATCGGATTATTATAGCGATGGGGTCTTTCGTAATTTGCATTTGCATTTGCATGCACTGACCTGTCACGTCGCTGAACTCCATTTGCATTCCATGGTCCTACTGACCTGTCACGGCTCCAAATTCCATTTGCATCACATGGACTGACCTGTCACGTCTCCACTTCGTGTGCATGCCAATTTTTTTTTTTTATTATTTTTTTTTTTCGAGATGCATGCCAATTTTCAAGGAAAAGAAGGGAAAGAAGGGAAGGAAAGGAAAGGAATGCGGAGGGAGTGAGGCCGGCGTGGCAATTGCTCAGTCCTCGAACTGTCTGATTCTGAGCAGAGAGCTGCACTTGGAGCAGCAGCCGCCGGCGGATGCACACACAGTCAGCGGGCGGCCATTACATGCTCTGATTGACGAATTGTGTTGGCGGCACATGAAGCAGCACAAACGAGCAGGAAGGCAGAGCTGTGTGTGTGTGATATATGAGCGGCCGGCGCCGTTCCCTCTCACATCCGGAAATCTCGCTGCTGCCCGCTACTCAAAAGGCGGTGAAAAGGTGTTTCTCCCGCCAACCTTTCCCTCTCAAACCCGCCGAAATTTTCGACTTCCCTTCCCTCCTCCTCCTCCTCCTTCTCCTCCTCGTGTCGCCGTGTGCCTCCTCATATCGGTCCTCTTCACCGAATATCCCAAGCGCGCCGAGCGAGTAAGCCATCGGTGTTGCTGAGCGCGCGCAGGCGCGAAACGTATTGATTCTCAGGTTAACTGCAGTGCTTGGACCCTTTTTAAGACAGTACGAAACACTAGTATTCCACTAGCAAACATACTCGATTCGCCCATATTTTCTCTCCCCTCCTCGTCACCCCGCCTTTCCTCATCTCTTCCTGCTCTTCCTTCTCTCTCTCTCTCTCTCTCTCTCTCTCTCTCTCTCTCTCTCTCTCTCTCTCTCTCTCTCTCCCGCCCCCCGGCTCCTCATGGTCGGCATTTTCCTTGCCGCCCTTGCCCACGTTTTTGTGATTGATGTCATTGTGATATTCTTCGATCATGTAACTGCATTGTGTATAGGGTAGTGACTAACTGACTAGTACTGAGAAATTAAAACGTAGACGTATTGCCGCGCGCTCAGCGCGCTCAGAAAGCGCGCAAATTGCACCCACTCCCACCTTGGCAGGCAAATTGCACATTCTACCTTGCCGCCGCCTTTTCGTAGTTCCCCTCCACACACGTTTTTCGTTACAGCAGGACGAAAAGTAGTGACACATCTGTCCCGCGTTTGCAAGGAGACGTCAAACGTTTTTCGTCACACTTTTCTTTTTTGAAAGTCGGACTGAATGTGTAGAATCACAACTCCCGCGTTTGTTAAGTACTAGTGGCGCCTCTTCATCCTCCTCATCCCCGTCTTCTCTACCTAGTCGTCATTGGTGTGGTGGCTGTCATCGCAGTCCGCTCATAGTCATCTCTAGACTCGGAGTGGGGACTCGCCAGCGGTATTAATTTGACACAACAAGCTGATCTTAGGGCGTCGAAATTGACGTATCTTTTCGTTTTCCTTGCATGAGTATATAATAATAAACATATCGTGGTATATATTGTATATGCTAGCACAGTATATATACTAGTAATAAATCTCTCTATAATATCGTTGAATCGTATCAGAGGCCCGCGTAGTGTAGTGTATTCGAAGAGAGCCCTATTTCGTTTTACAGATTCGCTTGATCGATTGCCGTAGTGGATAGGTAGCTTCTTCCTTTTTGCCGCTTCCCTTTCATCCGTTCCTATTGCATCGATTGTGCGGAATGGCCGACGCCTGTGCCATTGCTGGTGTCACACCGTGTACTGTGCCGCTCACGCAGATCTCCTCTACGCCTTCGTCTTCTAGCGCCGGGTACTCCGCAGAGCTGCTGAAAGCTTGCGAGCCCTTCGTCATCAAGGCCGGCGATGGTGATGCCAAGCTGAAGAAGGAAGATATGGCGAAAGCCGTGAAGGCCTTGGGATGGAAAAGCATGACGGATGAGGAGATCGACAAAGTTGTCTCCTCTCTCAGTGTGAGCGACGAGGGAAGCGGCGGACTGGTGAAGCTTGCGGACTTTGTCGAGGCATTCGGGAAAAGCGAGTACGTCGCAGCAATCGCCAGGGTGGAATCCACTGATGAGTGCGGCAATGAGATGTTGGAAGCGTTTAGGATCTTCGATAAGAATGGGGACGGGAAGATCACGATAGACGAGCTCAAGCAGGCGCTGAATGGGTTGGGCGTCAAGGCAAGGGAAGATGAAGTTGATGAACTCATGAAGCAGGCAGATGTCAATCGGGATGGATCCGTTTGCTATGAGGAATTCGTCAAACTGCTCAACGCGCCAATGTAAAGAGAGAGAGAGAGAGAGAGAGAGAGAGAGAGAGAGAGAGAGAGAGAGAGAGAGGTAAGTGTAGATTGACTCGTGCGTATACACCCGAAGATGCTTACGGTGCAGAGCTTGGGTTGCGGTTGTTGACGTCAGTGATGAGAGAGAAGAGGAGAGGGAGAAGGATAGATACGCGTGTGAGGAAGAGGAGAGGATGATGGTCATTGAACCATTGTCCGCCGAGCGTTGGGGCGAGGTGGTACTGAACTACACGCAGATGGATATATGATGGGTAGGAATAATTGATCCGTAGATGAATTGATTGATTGATTGATTGATTGATTGATTGGTTGATGTATAGGTTTCTAATCCATGCTTGGAAGGAAGATAGGTAGACATGCATCCATACATAGATGAATAGATAAATAGAGATAGGTAGATAGAGATAGATAGAGATAGAGATAGGTTTAGAGATAGATAGATATATCGATGTGTGTGTGTTTGTGTGTGTGTGTGAGAGAGAGATGTGTGTGTGTGTGTGTGTGTGTGAGAGAGAGAGAGAGAGAGAGAGAGAGTGAGAGAGGACGTTTGTGCACCTCACATAGGTTAGAGAGTGCGAAATAGGACTGCAAACTAGGAGAGATAAAAACGTGGCAGACGGTTAAACGGCTTTTTTTAAGAAGCAAGCCTAAAGGTGGTACATTTGAATTGTCTTGGGAATAAGTATCGTGAAGTCTGTGGTGATGATGATTCATTGGTGATGGTTGCTTGGGAAGAGAAGTCATTGTCAATTTCATAATGATGACTCATTTTTTCGCTGTTTCTTAAACACGATTCTATTAGGGAAAAAAGCGTTTGCATGAGGTGGTTCAGGGGTAAAAAACCTATCTCAACCCTAATGGCTTAATTGCCTGGTTCTCCGTTTCTGATGTGCACTTTGAAATTTGTTCTCTTCGTTAATATCCCCTCATAATATGACTCTTTTCTCTCTTTTTTTTTTCTCTTTTTTCTTTTCTCTTCTCTTTTCTCTAGGAGATTTGTATGCAATTACGAGTTTGATATTAGTTGAAAAATTAAATTACCATTTCTCTTTTATCAGCTCACTTTTGCGTGGGTCCTTTTGTTGTCTTTGAAATTCTTTTCTCGTGTTTTTTCTTTTTTTTGGAGAATTTGTTTTTTTTGTTTGTTTTTTGAAGCTTTCGTCACTTTTAGTAAGAATCTGATCGCCCCCCTATGGAATCCGAAATGTCAATCAGTCCGTCTTTGTCAGAATGAACGTGGACGGAATTTGTACCTGGATGCAAAAATGTTGAAGCATGAGACTGAACAGCTGCAGTGGAATTTCATAGTTTCAAGATCCTGGGCACGGACGTCCTGAACTTGCATGGATATGCAAAGTTTTTTTTTTTTTTTTTCATTTGTTACTTGTGCATTCTTAAATAGCCCCCTGTTTTGTACACTATCTGAGCTGAGCGTGCGAAGTACCCCCCCCCCCCCCCCCCCTCTCTTTTTAGAGGGGTTTCGGGTAGGACCGAACTTTATTTCATCCAGCAGGCAGGATTCTCACACATGATCTGTGTGTGAACAGGTCTACAAGTGGTACGCTCACCACCGCTGGGATGGAGGGTTTGCAGAAGGGCTTTCCAAAAGAAAAAGAACAAAAAAAAAAAAGGTCCACAAGTATTTCCGCCATTTGGTCTCAAGGTTGGGCCTTTTTTTTTTTGTTCCCCGAATGCTGGCCAATATTTCTTTTTGTGAGTTTTTTTTTTAGTTTGTCTGGATGTATTGCTTTTTCTATCCCTCGACTGTGAATATGTGGTCCAAATGGGAAATCGAAAGTGGAAAAAAAAAAAAAAAAACCCCGAACGGGTGTAGCTCGGTATATTTACCAATAAACTGTGAAACCAGATGTGAACGGAATATACCTGAATTCCCAAATGGAACCAGATGGGAGTCCGAATCCGAATGGAACCAGATGAACGAAATTCCTGAATTACCTAGGGCAGGTCAGTTTCACGATGATATCTTAGGACTGTCACCCTTTCTATTTTAACAAGTAAAAAAGCAAAATAATAGAACTGAAAATCGAAAACTATAGGCTGATGGTGATTGGAGGTGCCTTTAGTGATCGGTAGAGGTGGTATGCCTGCCCGTACGAAGCATCATCCGTTTACTGTCCTCGTCTTTTTGAAATCATGATTGATAATTCATAGTCGATGATAAATCCATTATTGATGGTGATTGAAGGTCGCATTGATGAATGGAGAGAGGTGAAACGCCGTTCCTTTGAGAGTAGTTTCTGATTTTTTTAATTTTTTTTTTTTAAATGCTTGTGTATCGTTCCAATTGCGGCGGATGTCCTGGGGCCAGGTGTCACTTGCAAGGTTTCTTCGCTCTTGTCCGATTATCTTCGTAATCAACGACCAGCAGCGAAGAATCTGGGTAAGTAAGGACCTCAGCCCTGGAATATAAAACTCTAGTTCTACACATGTAGAAAGGAAAAAAATCACTTTAAATTCTCCTTTAAACACAAAAAAAAAAACCTTGAAAATGTGTCTGGCGTGGTTCTCTGCGCGCTCTTCTTTTTTTTTTCGACATGGCACGATGGGCCAGAATGAGTTCATTCTTTTCATCTGGTTGATCTGGGTTTGAACTCCGGTCAGTATATGAACAGTTGAGGGGTGTACCAACTGAGCTACCTTCTTCCCCCGAATACAACGTACGGTCATTATAGCTGAATTTGGCGTATCTTTTAGTCTAAGTACAGCTATAACGACCCGGACGTTGTATTCGGGGGAAGAAGGTAGGCGTGTTGTATCTTTTAGTCTGTTGTATCCTTTAGTCTTAAGTACAGCTATAACGACCCGGACGTTGTATTCGGGGGAAGAAGGTAGGCGTGTTGGTGTAAAAAAAAGGAAAAAAAAAGGCTTGTTGGTGTGCACCGTATTGGCGTCCCGAAAAAGGGCCCTCGCCACACCATTGTCGAAATGACAAACGAACGAATGCATCTTCCCGCAGAAAAGGGCAAGATGCGTCCGTTACTGAAAAATAGCAACGGATGCATCTGACCTCTTTGTGCGGCAGATGCATTCGTTCTATTATCTTTTCGACAGTGGTGTGGCGAGGAGGTCCAAAATCCGAGTACAGTCCTTCGGGACATGTTAAAATTGGAACGATACAGAGTAGATTAGCATGGCCCCTGCGCAAGGATGACGCGCATAATTTATTATTATTTTTTTTAAGGATGACACGCATAAATCGAGAAATGGTCAAAAAAAAGAAAAAAAGAAAAGAAAAAAAAAATCCGAGTGCCCAGTCAATGCGGGTAAATGAATGGTACACACCCATAATCAGGGTAACCGGCGTTCGGGACGGGCCGAACGCCCGAACCCGAACGCCCGAACGTATGGGACCCCTTGGGGATGCGTTCGGCCGTTCGGGCCGAACGCGGACCCAAAAATAAAAAAGAAAAAAAAAGAAAAAAGTCATAAAAAAAGTCTTAAAAAAAGATATGTTATGGAGAAAAATAAATTAAACAAGATATGCCTGAGCATTACATCCGAATTCCTTACCAAATTTGAAATAAAAATAAAATACGGAAAGAAAATACTAATAATAAAAATAAATAAAAATAAAAAGAGAATTAAATTTAGTGAGTGGGCGAGCATGTTTTCGACACCGCCATCTTTGCCGATTTTTTTATTGTTTTTTGGCATAACTAAATGCCCTGAAAATTTACAGATGTGTACTTCACATAGTACAAAACCCACTAAAAAAGTTTCAAAAAATAATAAAATTGTTTAGACCCCGAACTAAAGTGAAAACAAAAAGTAAAAAGTGAAAAAATACGTGGGTGAGCACGTTTTGACACCTCCGTCTTTGGGGGTTTTTAGTTCTTATTTGGCTTAGCCAAATGACTTGAAACTTTACAGGCATGTACCTCATGTCATAGAGAACTCACAAAAAAAAAATTCAGAAAAAAATAATTATTTTTAGGCCCCGAAATAATTTTTGGCGGGGGCCGAACGCAGTCGGGTTCGGACCCCGTACGGGACCCCGAACGCCCGTACGTACGGAGGTCTGCCCGGGGACCTCCGTACGTACGGGCTGGTGACCCTGCCCGTAATAATATATTTGGTAAATCCGTCCGCCGATCTTCGTATTGTGTTCAATGACATCTGATTGATGAGGAATCGAACTCCGGTCAGCATTATGAACAGTTGGGGGGGTGTACCAACTGAGAGGCTTGCTGGTTAAAAAAAAGAGGGAAAAAAAAAAGGCTTGTTGGTGTGCACCGGATTGTCGCCCCGGAAAAAGGCCTCACCACACCACTGTCGAAATGACAAACGAACGAACGAACGCATATTCCCGCAGAGAAGGGTCAGATGCATCCGTTACGATGAATAGCAGCGGATGCATCTTACCTTTCTCTGCGGCAGATGCATTCGTTCTCTTATCGTTTTGACAGTGTTGTGGCGAGGCGCCCCCCCAAAAAAATTATTTATTTATTTATTATTGTTATTATTTTTATTATTTTTTTAAGGCCCAAAATTCGAGCACCCAGTCAATGTGTGTAAATGGTAGACAGCCTTAATATGTTGGTAAATCCGTTGGCTGATCTTCGTAATCTCCGGGCAGGAATAATGAATCTGGGTAATAGGCGACACTGCCAGGAAAGCGAAGTACTTGAAAACGGGTTCTGTGTGGTCCCCACCCGCACCCTGTCGTCGTCCTCTAATAGATCGTATACCCGTGAATTTGCTTGGGAGATAGACGCATGTTCGAATCCTAGGGGAATCAGATTAATACTCTCACTCTGAAATTGCTTGGGGCAGGTCAAGCTTTCACAGTAGCTAATCTTGTAAGTAAGCTTTGAATGACGCACCATGTATATGGGTGTTCCGCTTTGCGTTTTGCGGGGGGTACACTCATGAATTGTCTGGAAACAGGCCTGAGTTCGATTCCTACCCGGAATCTAATTATGAATCTCAGTTGAATTGCTTGGGCCAGAGGTCAGTTTGACGACGATACAAGCACCTTTCATAGTAGCAGCTAAGCTTGCACAGTTTAGCAAAAGTATAGCTCTGGTGTGAATCTTCAAACTCTTTCAACAGAAGGAAAAGGAGGAGGGAGAAGGGAGTTGGGAGGGGTGGGGGTGGCCGGGGGTAAGGGGGTAAGGGGGTAGTTCCTCATGTTTACATCTTCTACGTCTGGCTACTCGGGGCGGTTCAGGAAACTTTTTTTTTTTTTTTTTTCTTGAAAGGCCCAGTGCCCAAGGCTGATATTATGCGGACATCTTATTCAGAATTTTAGGTGTCAGTATCACCTTAGGTGGCTGCAGATGTAGCTGTGCATGCTTTGGTTGTCTAGGTTATTAGACTATGTCAGAGGGAGGCTGGCCTGTGCTAGGGCATGGCCCTGTAACCCCTCTACACAGGAGTTAAGGCCTTGTAGAGAGATCTGGGGATTACCGAGGGCGGAAGGTAAATCCAGTGTCTGACCATGGGCTACTTCCAGCCTTCCAGGTCAACGATGGGGGGAGCTGGGGCAGGTATCGCTGCCCTGAAACCTTGCTTGATTGGGGGGGTGAGACCGGGCATAGATTTGGGAGCAACGACCGCACAGCTAGGTTTGGATTAGGCTGGGGTGATAGGGTCACCTTTTTTTTTTTTTTTTTTTTTTTTTTGACGAAACTCGGGTTTGCTAGAGGCGCTGGTAAGTCACCTGGAATTAGGAGTCGGATAGAAGTATCACCCCCTCTAGTAAACAGCTAAGGAAAAAAAAAAAAAAAAAAAAAAAAAAAAAAAGAATAGAAGTAGAGTTCTGGTCTGGCCATGCTTTCCTCATCAATCTCATCGCAGCTAGGTTCTGTCATAATCATCCAAATCATCCTCGAATCATCATTAATCTTTATCAATTCATTGTGTATTCTCATGGACGCT